GGGGGGGGGGGGGGGGTTAGGGTTAGGGTGTCACTAGGAGCAAACCATGCCTTAGCGCTGCAGGGCTGGGTGTGCGTGTGTGACAGCGGTTCATCGGACCCTCGGGATCATGACTTGGCATTTTACAGTAGCAGACGTTCGGGATCGACATATGCCAACGCGTCATTTTCTGCCCATCCGGAGATCGCCGATACCGCTTCTGGCCTCCGTGCAACGCTACAACAAGATCCTTATCGTCCTTATCAAGCTCATCCTCTCGGAGGTAGCCGAATTCTTTTGGCGTCCCCGAAGGCTTGGGCCAATTGACGCGGGGTTTTGCCAACATCCGAAGCTGATTGCCATCTCAGCGACCAACGAGAGCTCTGTAGCCCGAGAGTATTGCCGTCAGCGGAGCATGGCTAACGTTCCGAACATTGCATATAAGAGAGTGGCCATCCTCGTGTTGAATTGTCCCAACAATACGTCCTGCTGTCGACACCCGCATTCTCTTGACTTTTGATAAATGTCTGAGCCACCTTCAATGGCCTCCGTCATCACGGTACATCGTTTGCCTGTTCCAACTGGCTCAAGAGTAGATTTTGGTGCCCAGCTGTGCAATGCGGACCTCGAAAACGTATCTGCCGCAGACTTTGACGTGATCCGCGATGCGCTCTACACGCATCAGCTCGTTATATTCAAGGATCAAGCGAGGCTGTCGCCCAAGGCACAGTATCAGCTGACAAGGCTCTTTGATCCTAAATCGGACATGTATGGACATGGGGAAGTCGTTGGAGCCAAGAGCGTGCTTCATCCCGACCTCAAGACCATACCGCATCAGCCTCAAGTGCAGGTGATCGGTAATGGCCCCGTCGCCAGCTTCGAAGGACTTGAAGAGATACAGCTCAAGCACCCGCATCACCGAACCTTCCATCGCCATCCAATTCCGGAGCGAGAGGACCGCATTGCAACCAGATTCTACCGATGGCATATCGACGCTGCGCTCTACGGTCTCGATCCACCCAAGGTGACTACTTTGCTTGCCGTCAAAGTGCCTAAGACCGAGCGCCAACTCCTCCGCTACGACGATGGCAGCGGAGACGTGCTCTCGGTGCCCCGAGGCTCCACGGTCTTCGCAAGTTCTTACCGGATGTACGACTTGCTGAGCGAGGACGACAAGAAATTCGTGCGTGGGACGAAAGTGTCTTATGCGCCGCATCCCTACACGTGGATGGCGGATGCGAAATCGCGCTCCGACGGGCTCGGCCTCGTATCTGAAGGCTTAGAACTGGATCGTTCAACCCTTCCGGAGGTCGATGACCGCGAGATCAAGATCTACCCTATGTGCTGGAAGAATCCGAAAACCGGCAAATTGGCGCTGCAGGTGCACCCCTCTGCTGTACAGGAACTTCATCTTGAGGATGGCAGTGTGATCGACGATCTCGAGCAGGTGCGCAATATCGTTCATAGGCTGCAAAGGCCAGGCATTGCGCCTGATCTCGTGTATGCTGTCGACTGGGACGAGGGCGATCTGGCGCTGTTCAACAATCACGGAGTGTTGCACTCTGTCACTGGATCCTTCCTGCCAGAAGAGGTTCGAATCTTCCGACAGTGCAACCTCGCCGCCAGCGAACCTCCTCTCGAGCCGTGACGGCTGCTGAAGCTTTGACTACGGGTGCTCTGACGCACTGTACTTCCCACGCATGTTCAATTACGCATATGCTTCTTTGGCCCGCATCCCACCACGAAAGCTTTTCGGGAAATCGTCCGAGTTGCAGAGCTAGCCTGAGGGGCCAGTATGAGCGGAGACGTCCGGACGGATGCTTGCGTGTTGGCAACTCCCCTGGCTGTCTTCATGTCCTCTGCAAGAAGGCGGCTGCGCCTTGGACGTTGGCGCATTGACGATTGACTGCTTGGCGCATCGTTGCGCTCCCGATGCTTCGTAAGGGACCCCACTCGAACAGAAATCAGCCGATAGCAGATTTCCCGGATTTTCTTCGGCGGGGCTTAATCTGCCCCACCACCACCACCACCACCACCACCA